GAGCAAGTACGCTTTGAACCACTCCATGTACAATCCACCGCCGAAGTCTGACGTAGCTAAGTATCGGAAGTCTTTGGAGGAGAGGATGCAGAGAACTGCAGAAGTTATCGTACATGGGCGGCGGCTGGGAACATGTGTCATTACTCAAGAGAAGGAGCTGAGTGTCATGAAGTGGATGATGTGGCAACTCAAACCTTGTGCCATCCAACGTCGGGAAGCAAAGGACAACATTACGAAGACGGAGGAGAGGTTGCACAAGATCGAGGGCAAGATAGCTACACTCAAACAGGAGGCTTTATATGAAGAGACTTTGTTGGATTACTACCACGACTTATTTCGAGAGGCAGCTGAGGGAGAGGCAGACACGACAGAACTATCAAGTACGGAGGTGGATATCGGTTACGACAGGAGGGTTGCGCTTCAGAAGGAGCTTCGGGCAAGCGATGAAGAGCAGCCTCCACCACCACCACCTCCGCCACCACCGCCGCCGCCATATTCTTCCAGACGTGATCCAACGCCAACGCCAATTGTGGACGGCAAACACCTGCGCTGCCAGGCCTCTTTGAGACAGCCGCAAGGGCAGGTCTCCAGAGGTCTAGGCACAGTACAGCAGCTAGGAGTGCAGAACCCAGCGCAGGACGATGCCCGTCGACCTTCAACTTCGCCAGTTAGAATGGATCCATACGGTGGCACTAGCTCACGTTCGACAGCAGGAAGTTTGCCTGGGAGTTCGTCACACAGATCTGCTTTTTTGTCGTATGCAACGATGCCCTCATCTAGTGCTCAGCAGACGCCGCAGCCTCTTCCAGTTGGGTTACAGATGCCAGAGCAGATGCAGACCCCAGCTACACAAGCGCCGACGACAGCAGCTCCGCGGATACTGCCAGCACAGGTGACGCCGCAGCCACCCCGCAAGGAGGCTGATTGCTACATGACGGTTGACAGCAGCAGTTCAGTGGCGGCAACTTCGGTAGTCAAGTCAGCGCCGAGGACGGAACTACTCACGAAGGAGCAGGCCAAGGTTTACGAGAGTGAGTGTAAGGCGGCCAGACACAACGAATGGTTGGAGCAGCAGAGGGCTGCGGCAGCAGCTCATCAGCACAATCTTATATTACAGCAGCAGAACCGTCAGTTGCAAGTCCAGATCGAGTGCGGCCGTCGAGAGCACAGCGGAGAGCAACAGGAATTGGAGCACCAGAGGCAGCAACTTGCAAGCCGTGAAATGGAAGTACAGCGCTTTGGGCAGGAGGAGATGGCCAAGATTACGATGATCATGCATCAGCTCCAACGTCGTTCAGAGGAGGTTGACGAACAGCGCCAGGCATTCATCGAGAGGGACAAAGCCAAACATCAGAAAGATACCGAGGACATGGAACAGTGGAAGCGAAGTCAGATGGCAAGAGTGGCTGGTGAACTCAGAGAGGTGCATGAGATGAAGGCCGAGAACGACGAGCAGTACCAGAAAGTTTGGCTTGAATTAGAGGAGCAGCGGCAACAAGATGAAGTACGACAACAGCAGCTTGTTGAGGCAGTCCGATCAGCAGAGGCTCGTACTCAGCACTATGAAGATGAGATCGGGCGGCTTCGTGCTCAAAAAGGGAAAGGAATTACCCCGCGATCGAATCGGACGAACCCATATGGTAAGACAGGAGTATCCAGAGTTCAGCCTGGCAGCAGCTTGGAGAATGAGACGGAGAAGTTTGAAGCCGAATTGCTTTTGCAGAAGAGGCAGGCTGAGCGTGACAGCGAGATGTACATCGACTACGAGTGCCAGAGGTATATGGCGGGTTCGCCGTTATGTTCTTCAATTTACTCCTCACCACCCTCTACCATGACCAGGGCAGTGGATGTGGCGCTTGCTGATGAGGACGCTGCTCGACAGCAGGAAGAAGCTGACTTTCAAGAATGGTTACGTGCAGAACGGCAGGTCTATGCATTTGAAGAGGCACGGATGTCAGTGGTTCGGAATGCAGAATACAAGGAGGCAGAGCAGCGTGAGGCACAGCAGCGAGCCGAGCACCGACAAGAAGTTCAAGTTGACTCTGTGCACTCTTCACCGACGGTGGTACCTGAACTATCGGCTGAAGTTGCTCGTGATATGCTTCCAAATCGTTATTCTACTACGATGGACTCTGCAGACGCAGTTTCGACAGAAGACATCATGGACGCAGCTCAGAGGTATGATCGGGCAGTAGCAGCTGAGCTTGAGGCCATTCAAGAGGAGGAAATCAGCCTTTTGATGCATGACAGAAAGGTAGCCAGAGAAGAACAAGAAGAACAATACCAGGATGAGTTAGCCAAGTACGGACTCGAGGTCATACAACAACTAACAGAGGAGGTCGGCCGTGGAGATGAACATCGTGACGGGGGTCTGGATGCTGCAGATGTTGAAGATGAGGTACCTTCAGACGCGGCTCAGCATGCAATTCGTTCAGGGGAAGAGGACACTGACAGGAGCACGGTGCACAAAAGGCCAGCGCGGAAGTATGGGAGACAATTC